GATAAATTTTAATATTTTTTTTTTTTTTGATTTTTATGAATTCAGTTTATAATAAATATAGTCTTTCGATTTGTATTTGTTTAATACTTAAAATAAAATTTGCTATTTACTAGCATATTGTATATTCACTAAAATGTTATAAAAATGATAGAAAAATGAATTATTATACTAATATTATAATATAAGCGAGCTTTTAGAAATTATTTGATAACTTTGATTCAGTTAAATACAATATTAAATAGAAAGATCTTTAATTGTATGTATATATAAAATAATGAAGTGGGTTTTACTGTACTACTATCGGTAACTTTAATTTAGCTTTTACTATATAAAGCTGTCCGCGGTAAACATTTGAAATGCGAATGATAAAGCGATAGTTGAAGGAGATTGTGCAATATCTTTCTATTTGTTCTATCACTATTCATCAGTTCTATTATTTTAACACTAACCATTCATTAATATGAAATTCTATATGTTTAATATCAAGTAGGTGTAAAAACTATTTATATTAAACAGAGATATAATGAGTCAAGAGAAATAATAACATTTTCATCATGTATTTTAATTATGATTTCTCCACAGCGAATATTATTTGTTCAATAATTGATTTAGGAGCTGATTTATTTAAATTTTGATTATATAATACGTAACTGTTTAATACATTTATCTATAGAAACTATTAAGAAATTTTAGTGCATTACAATTAAATTAGTATTCAATTAGAATTTATACTAACATTATCATTGTCATTAATTTTTTTTATTAGCATTTGCTTTATTCTTTTCATTATCATTCTCTATATTTAATGCATACGAAATACGTAATATCGAGATAAACTCTCTAAAAATCTAACTTAAATATTTAGTTTTTGATTGATTATTATATATATAATTAAGCTTTTGATATATTTCAACAAAACAGTCATGTATTCTAGAAATTCTGATACAAAACTAGGTTGTGAAGTAATCGGATTTCAGCCACGCCTTTCATTACTAGACAAACGAATAATAACCAATTAGAGATATTTGAACAGAAACGCATATCACCGAGACTAATATCACATTTATAAAATGGTGTTTATCGTGGGTAATGGCTCGAATCGTTAATATGCGGGTGGAACATCCGATTGAAGATTTCGTGCGAGTCATTGAATTAATAGAAACTGTGTTGTAAAGTTTCTCATATATACAATACATACAATAATGAATTGTGATTTCTGATTCATTCCCTTTAAACTCTCAGAATCTGATACAATCTAATGCAATATTTTAAATCATAATTAAAAATTAAAATTAATTTTTGACAATTTTGCACTAGGAACAACTAGACTAATTTTATAATATTAATTTCGAGGTTTCGGCAAACATTCATAATTGAAATTTATTATATTTTGAAAAAAGTTTAAATTAGTTAAATAAGTTTAATAAGTCAATTGGTTAGTGAATTTGTATATTCTAATAAATAACTTTATTATTATTAAAAATAGAAATGTTGTAAAGAGTGGCAAACTTTCTTATTAAAATATTAGTGAAAGTAGAATTCAGAGCTTACTAAATATAATAGTAAATCAATCTATTTATAAAAAGAAATCGTTCGATATTAGGAGATTTTACAATATCAATTGGCCGTTAACAATATAATTATTTAATAAATTATAAATAAATATGCATAAATAGAAAATATAAAGTATTTTAGGAACATATATATATATATATATATATAATGTAAGTAAATATGTCATTGAATAATGTATTGTTAATTCATTACTATATAGTATTTAAATATGTAAAAATTAATATCTATAGATGATGTCTATTTATTTTACAATTATTAAGCTTGTAAATCGAATTTTTAATAATGGAATTTGATGACTTTGATCATAGAACTAATCTTTGCATCATCAAATAAAAGTACGAGATTTAAATGAAATAAAACACGGTCGAATTTTAGTAGGCAATTTTGTTCAGTTTTAAAAATTTCTTGTTATTATTTTGTAATTTAATTTTTCAAATTTTTATACATATTTTTAATGGCTATGACTATAATCAATAATTATTAATATACTTGATTAATATAGGTAGCTATCGCAGTACTATTTTCTTTATGTAGATTAAGAATTATTTGAAACTGTATCTTATACATATTAGTTTCGATTTTTTGTTTAATTAGATTCTTTTTGGCCATTCATATTTAATTTTTTATATGTATAATAAAAATGATTTTATCCTTATCTGGGTTTTTCTTGATTAAATAATATTTTTACGTATTTATTCTATTTAGTACTTCTAATACAATATTTGATAATATGAAAACAAATTTCTGTCAAAGAAATTGTGTAAAAAATAAAATCATATGTTTTAATAACGCTTTTAAATTGATATATATATATATATATATATATATATATATATATATATATATATATATAAATATATCCATTATTTTATTTGATTAAAATAATTTACAAATTATTGGCAAGAAAATAATCATTATACGTAATATACTATATACAGTATATAGTAATATATGTTGAAATAAAGTGTTATCTTTTGGGGCTTTATTATCATTTTTTAGTACATGTAAGATTACTAAAGAAAAAGACATGTAGCTAAAGCAATAAATTTCATCAGATCTAATCTGAACTCAGATTGAAATTATGCATTTAAACATTTTTACTAAAACATGTATGTTCAAATTTAATCTTAAGAGTCAAATTAAAGTAAAGCTCAAGGGATGCATATTCAAAGAAAAATTTCAAACCTATTCAGAGATATCCACGCTGATAGATATACGTTGTATGTGTAACGTGTAGATTATATCTGTATTACTTCTGAGCTACTAATGACTAGCACATTATGTTGATTTATTGAACCATTATTAGAATACTGTATTAAAACAATTTATAACTACGCTACGTTTCGGGACAGTAAAAAAAAAGTTTTCAAAACTCGTTTTAGTTAATTTATGAGATAATAATAAAATCTCGATAATCAATAGAAAATCAGGAAGACAAACATTTCATTTATTTCAATTTTTATTCATAAACTTAGAACTCTGGAACTTTATGAATTAAATGTATCGAGGCTTTTGATTTTACTGTACAAATAGAGAATAATAAGTAAATCATTTTACCAAATATTCGAAAGACTAGGCAGGAGGAATGACATTATTTATCCTTCTAAGTATATTTTTATCGTGGAGGGAAATACGGCTTTTTAAATATTTTATGGAATGATACCTGTCTATTATTGAAGAAAAATCATTAATTATAATTCATTTTTAGACAACGGGGAAGTATGGGGCAACTCAAATAAAACTATCGCTCAATAGTCATTAATTTTAAAGGAAATATACCTATTAACTTAATAAAAAGGAATAAAAAACTCTTATGCGAATGATTTTCCGTAATATGTGATAAATTTGATTTTTAGTTGAAATAGTACTATAATATAAAATAAATTGCACGAGCATGAACATGATTACGCAGCTTTTCATGAAGCATTATGTATGATCATATGTATATGCTCATGGTATTCTAATATTGCGATACAAAATCTCAGGTGTACGGATATTTTGTAAAAGCGATTATATTGCTATTTATTACAACGTCGTCTCCATACCGATATTTAAGTCTAACATATATCGATTAAAAACTTCAATATTTTTATTATTTCTGTTCGCGTATATATACTAGAATAAAGATATAATAGTCTTCGATTTCAAAGGCTTAACCGTAAACAATGTAAATGAAGAAAATAATGTATTGATAGATATTATTTAAAATTCCAATAATTATATATATATTCATTTCTATAATATAATTTATCGATCATATTAAAGTACTTTGTCCGCTTAGGATTTAAGGAAATTTATTATATTATATACTTTCACTAGATAACGCAAGTTTGCCATTGAGATTAAAAAACATATTTTAAATCGTTCATCTTTATTCGTTTTAATAAATTTTTGTAACAATAAATATGTTTGTATTCTCGATAATACCAAATATAAAACAATTTTACATATTTAAGTTATATTTTTTTATAAAAAAATATTTATAATATATATTTTAAATTAAGCCAATGCGATTCTATATTTGCACAATAATAATTCATAGATAAGTCGAAATTATGAAATTGTATAATGTTTTATGAAGCATTAAATAAAAAATATTAATTTAATTTTAGCTTTAGAAACAATTCTAATGCTACTTAAAAGCATACATTCAAATAAAACATTGTTTTGTTTTAAATTTACTGCGTATTAAATATATGCAATATTTATAGGTTTTCATATATTTTTAACGTTATAAGCTATAGAATATAAATATATTTAAACTTATTTTATGCTAAATCCAACCAACTAAAGTTTTTATTTATTTGGATTAATCAATATGCATAAATACAAAAGTTATACAATATTCTTGAATGAATGCAATAAATGAAACATTTTATTTGTGTAATTATTAATTAAATTACATACATGCATCTTATTATAGATAATAAGTTAAATAATATTATTTAAATTTTTTCTAATTCCCGAAAGCAATATTGATTCAATAAGATAAGGGGTTAAAAAAAAATTTTGTTTTTAATTAAAAATATTCATTCTTATTAGGTTTGTAAAGTACGAATATTTTGAAAATAAACTAGGCAATACTAATTAACAAGTTCGAATCATTAATTTTCGATTTTATCTAAATCTTAATTTCAAACTTGCATACATGGTTTGATGTGTATATTAAAACAACTTCTGACCCATTAGGCTTTTGTATATTTAAAGTGAAGTTAACAAATTTTTTTAAACATTATTTCGAATGAAGACTTCAATGTAGTTTAAAGCCAGTTATTAAGTAGTTATTTTTACAATGACTTGATCACTGAGCCTAATGAAATCAAACCCACTCAAGCAACTTGTATAATATGCTTGCAACAACAATTTTCCGAATGTACCGACTAGGAACTCAAGATATTTAACACTTGCTTTTACTCTGGATCTAGGCATTGCAATGTGCAGCATATTAAGAAGCTCTGACTCCTTCCTTCGATTCCGATTGAGTCGGGGGCAAATACATGGGTGTTCGCGCACGTCGGAAAATGGAGCTCGAGAAAAAGTCCAGCGACAGCCCTTATCGCGAGTCGCAGAAGGGGGTTGGGGTGGAATATGCGCTAAAAGCGTTAGCGCAGGCGCAGTAGCGAGCTATCTTTGGATTTCCACTCGAAGACGAGAAAAGCGAAGGAACTGGAGAAATCGGGATCGCTGGTTAGTCGCGGGAGACCCTCTGCCACTAGTTGTCTCGCTGCTGCGCCGACGGACGTTCCGTTGTGCCCCGGGTGTCGGATAAGCCACGATCCGCGCCCGTATGTTCGCGTGCTCTCGTGCGGCTCTGTCACAGGGAAAAAGGTAAGCGGGGATTCCCCGGAAGACGCAACCACTATCATCAACACGCTCCCCTAAGCTCGTGGAAATGTTTGTGTTCAGGGTCTACCGATTAATGCAGGGCATTAAAATTGTTTTCATCAGGCGGATGATGGCGATTGTTTTGTAAATTTTTGGGCTTCCATTTAAAATGACGAGGTCCGTGATTTTGTTATACGTTCTATCTTAACTACAAATCTTACGAAGCTACAGTCGATTCACTTAACATTTGTATGTATTTGATATTCTCGCAAAGTTGAGATAAAACTGATAATTTAACATTCAAGTTGTTTTCGTTTTTTTTTCAAATGAAAAATACTTGCATTTTGCTAATTATTTTAGTTAAATTTTTTAAAAATTCTTCAAATTCTTATTATATCATTATAATTTTTACTTTATAGTGTATGAAAAACAAAAATACAAGGAAAAATTGATTAAGTTATTGAGTCATTGAATCATACTTTACAATGTATGTTGTAAAAATAAAAATTTTCTGAATAATTATTTTCTTATCATTTTATACTAAGTTTAGAAAGAAGATATGAAAGTTTTATAAAAAAATTCATAATTTAAAACAATTCTTTGTTGTGTATATAAATTGAAGATTTTATAATGTAAATGATATGGATTTATGTTTGAAAAATGTTATTTTGTTTAAAACTATTTTCATTAGAATATGCGAAAATATTTATTTAAATCGAAATACGATTGCAAGGATGTAGTAATGTTGAATTTTAATTTTAATAATAGTTGAAATTAGTTAATAATAAGTAATAATGATAATAATTAACAAACATGTTTAAGATATAATTAATATCTAAATATCATACAAGAAGTATATTTATCTTTTGAAATTTTACTGAACCAAAAAAGAAATTATAATCACGAACATTTCCACTCGTCTGTGATTTTTGTTAGTTTTTTCCGTGAATCTAGAGAAGTATAATAATCATTTATATTGTTTTTAAAGAATTAATAAAATTTTATAAATTACGAAACAAATTCAATGCAAGTCACTAGTATGATTCCTATTATTTTTGTTGTCATTCTATCATATCCTATCATAATTACATCATCGAGTAATACCCATAAACTTAACCATTATTTAGGATGAAAGAAAAAAATATGCACATTTATTTAAAGTAACTTATATATTTTGATTAATTTTATTAATTTTATATAAAAATATATTTTAATCTTTTAATTAAGACGAAGAAAAATACTGACTTAATAGTATTTGTTTAATACATTCTCTGGATTCTTGGAGAGCTATCATCCATATTACATGTAATCAGAATAATTAAATGAACAACGGTTTTCATTTAATCTAATAAAATAAGGTATCACTATTATCTGAAAATATTTTCATCAATAAGCGTCAATATATTTCATTGGATATGTTAATTTAAATACTACAATTTAACATCGTAAGTTTATGTTTATAAAACTTTTGTTACTATAAATCATTCACATACGCAGATCATACTTTTAAATTAAAACATACAAAAGTTTTTGTTTATGATAAACATTTAATTATTAGCACGGATGAAGCATGTCGAAACACAATTATAATTAAATAGTTTTTTATAATTATTCATGAAGAAAATGCACGATTAAGTTAAATCAGAATGAATAATCACGTGTCATTATGGGCTTTTATTATGTACCATTAGACAAAGAGCATTTTAGAAGAAAGAGATCAATATAAATAATAAAATAATTGTAAGCACCAATGCTAATTGAATAATTTTTACTATAATCATTTTTGTTATGAAATATAAGATAAACTAATATTATAAAATTAATTTTTCATATAATATGATAACAAGGTAATATGTATGGAATTTATAATAGTTTTAATAAATTTGCTAATTTAAATATTTCATTTACTTAAAGATCAAATAATGAATATTATGTTAGATGCTTCAAATAATTAAAAAGTTCATATATTGTGAATACAAGTATTTTATTTAAATTGTTATGCCAAATTTGCTACAATTATTTAAAAATTAAAAATAAATCTATTAAGGTAGAGAAATTGTTTGAAAATTATATATATTGCTTATAGTAGCTATAATTACTTATTTATAATCTATTTTCTAATAAAAATTTTTAAATAATGCACAAACACATTCAATTTTTAATATTTTATTATTTTTATTATTTTAATATATATATATATATATATATAACATTTAAATGTAATTAAAAAAAAATAAGAATAAGGTATTATTGTATATATTATCCAGGCACATATAATGTCACGAGTCTATACTACATTTGTAATTCAAACTAATGTAAATTGTTTCCTTTTTATAAAAAGAAAAAGTTCAATCCTTACAAGTGTTTTATATTATAACTATAGTCACACTTTTATAAATTATATATGAAGAACATATATATTAAATATATATATTTATTATATTTGGGTTAATTTATTATATTACGAAATTCAATTTCATATAATGGAAGTAAATACAATAAATATATGAATATTCTACATCAATTTTTGTATTATATCATTACATCAATAGAACAGTAACGTAAATACTTTATTATTCTTAAACATAATATAATAGATGTTTATAAACATAAATTTAATAAAAAAATGAACTTGTGCTTTATAATTTCGATTGAAATTATATATTATAATTAATTGAAATGCAATTAATTTGATGTAATTAATAAAATAGTTGATTTCTAAAAATAATTTTATTGTACAAAAATAATTGTCGATACAACAAAGTATTTTTCATTTTATATATTTATAAAAATTTAATTTTGTAATTTTAATTGCATTAAAAAATCGCTTGTTACATAATTATGTACATAGTTTTCTATTTTACGTTATTAATGTTACGAAAGGTCGATCAGATTTGATTTCTACTTTAATTTTCAATAATAAATTAATATTTTGAGGGTTATAAAAATTTAAGTGATTTATAAAATGAAAAACTATATTTATATATTAGGAAAAAATTAATTTTTTAAATAACAATTTTTTATTTATTTTTCATGACATCCGTTTATTTATTAATTTACTTGATAATAATTTAATTGAAATCATAATATATATTTTTTATTTCCAACAATTTATTAATATTAGTATGTATAAACAAATTTAAATTATTTAGCATTTAGAATTAAAATATAATTAATATTATTAAACAATACCTTATCACTGCTTACCCACACTATTTACTAATTGAGCTATTGATGTAATATTATTTTTTAATATTAAACTTGAATAATTGAGACAAATATTATGATCTTTATCAAGAAAAGCTTAGATTTAGTTTCGAAATAAGTTAGAAATTCTAGAAAATGATAATTTTCCAAAAATGCTGTTCGATATAAATATGTTAACTTTGTGATCAGCTCGATGTTTTTATAGAGATACTTGAAGTTTTCTACAGTTTCCTTTTTGTCGCGGCATAGACACTGAGTGAGTGGATCGATTGGTGGTTGGGGAAGGAGTTGGAGAGGTCGAAAGGGCAATTCGAATAAATCGGAGAGCTGGCAGTACCATGTACGATAATATCGGCGAGTGACTGCCGAATTAACGAGAGAAAAGCGCGAGAATTTAATGGACTTTCGACTCTATTTACACGTGTACGTATCGATAATATCCAGTCAGAACTAGTCGAATTAAAATTTCGTAATTTCAACGATAAATTATTTTGCTCTCTTTAAAAATTTATTGATCGTCAAACAATCTATAAAGAATCGCTTGGATCTATTTAGAATTAGTTCTGTACAGTAAAGGTTCCAAGGTTTAAATTTTTTACTTGAATCTGAACTATAACTAAACTAAAAAACTTTAAATTATCTGGAAAAACTATTGCCTTATTAAATTGATATTTTAGAATATTAATCATTTACAATCCTCAATCTTTAAATAACCATAAAAATTATTTTCAAATATTATTCGGTTTAAAAAACATTTAAATTAAAAAACAATAAAACAAATTTTATTCCAATTAAGAAATTAATAATTATATATATATATATTTGTGCATGAAATATTAAATTATCTATAATTGTAATTAATTAATGTTAATTATTATTGGTTATTAATTAGATAATTTATAATTCATTAATAATTCTTATCTATAAAAATTTTGGATTATAAAAAAATATATTAAGTATATATCTAAATTTTGTATTAAGCAAACCTTTAATAATATTAAGTGTAAGTAAAAAATCATATTTGCTGTATTAATTCACATATAGTTATCACACGTTAATTTATCAATGAATGAATTACACAATTTAAGTTAAATCATACATGTAATAGAAATAAGTAGAATTGCTTAAAAAGTTAACATTCAATTAGTGGAAAATTGTTTATTTAGTTCTTTTAATTAAAAGTGTTAATTATATAATATTATCTTAATACTTATATGAAATATTCTTTTTTGATATTTTGAAAATATTATTGCAATTTTTGCTATTGCATAATACATAAATTATCACAAATACCTTATTCAATAAAAAATTGTTAATAATTTCTTTTTCCGACATGCACATATAAACATATAGACACAAAGTTCATATATGGATCCATATATGGCTGGATAGATGGTTGAAGTCATATGAGTGTAAATTGATAGTTATTTTCAAGCCATTTGTTACAACATTCAATTCATTGAAAATTTATTTTTAATTTTACAATAATAATGTGTCTATAACTTTGTTGAGGTAGATATTGTTTATTTAAATGATGATGTTTCTATGCTTCCAAGTGAGAAATAGCTATTATTTCACTAAATTAATTCAATGTGATAAATAAGCTTTATGTGTACATAACCAATAAAGAGACTATTTTTCGATACCGTTTAGATCTTTAAGGTAATTATATATAAGTTTAAAAATTTTAATGTATTTTATTTTTCATACTTTGCATTATATAATTACATTAAATACATAATAGAATTAAATAAGTATTTATATATAAATCAACATTTTAGTGAATAACTAAGAAA